GTGCCGCTTATAATAGGCCACTTACAGATTCCCGTCATTTAGAAATTTATGTCCTCTCCTGACTCTAAGCCCCTTGAGGCAAGTGCTTGAAATGTTCTGTGCGTGTTTCCCACGGCCCTGGGTGCCTGGCTGCAAGCACATGCATGTGCAAGGCGTGTGCTGAGACGGAGGAGAGCAAGAGCTGGGAACAGAAGACCACAGTGGTGGAGCAGCGGGAGCCGTTTCCACCCACTCACTCACAGGCAGAGGGACAGAGTTCAGGTTTGGGTGCTGAGGACTCCTGGGAGCAGATCATCACCAAGGAAGGCCTCGAGCTGTGAACTGGGTGGACCAGGCTCCCCCCGGGAGTGTCTCTGGGCTCGGGAAGCACGTGGCTGTTCCGTTGCAGGTCCACGTTAGCCTGTTACAGACCAGTGGCCCAAACAAAGGGGTTTGTTTCTCACATTCAGGAAGTCGAAGATCAGGGCCAGCAGATTGGATGTCTGGTGAGGGCCCACTTCCTCGTCCACTGACGAGTTCTCACATGGCAGAAGGGCCAGGGGACCTCTCTGGAGTCTCTTTCACAAGGCCTTACTCCAGTTCAGGAGGCTCCACCCTCATGGCCTAATCATCTTAAAAAGCCCCCACTTGTCACCTTGACTTAAGATTCAACATGAATTTGTGGGGTCCAGAGACATTCGGACCACAGTAATGCCCATCGTCCCTCCCTACCCAGTGGGAGTCCTGAGAAGAGATTGCAGAGGAGGTTTTTTTTTTTTTTTTTTTTAAAGAGAGAGTGAGAGAGGAGAGAGAGAGAGAGAGAGAGAGAGAGAGAGAGAGAGAGAGAGAGAGAGAATTTTTAATATTTATTTTTCAGTTCTTGGCGGACACAACATCTTTGTTGGTATGTGGTGCTGAGGATCGAACCCGGGCCACACGCATGCCAGGCGAGCGCGCTACCGCTTGAGCCACATCCCCAGCCCCTGCAGAGGAGGTTTGTCACTGAGGATGGTGGAGTGGTGACCTGCTTTGACCGCAGACCTGGTCCAGATTTGAAGAAATGATTCCTTTTAAATTAAGTGCCAACTTGAAAGAAGAACTTTGTTTTGTTTTGTCTTCCTGTGATTTTTTTTTAATATTTCAAAAATTTGGGGAGTCCTTGAGGGGAGGTGTTATTTCATGGGCATAGAGTTTCAGTTTTGCAAGATGGAGAGTTCCGGATATGGGCTGCCCAAGAGGGTGAGTGTGTTTAATGGTTGAGATGAATCCCAGCAACTCAGGAGGCTGAGGCAGGAGGATCACAAGTTCAAGGCCAGCCTCAGCAACTTAGGTCCTGAAGAAAAAATGATCAAGATGGCAATTTATTTATTTATTTCTTCCTTTCTTTTTCTTTCCTCATTTTCTGCAGTGCTGGTGGTGAACTCAGGTCCTTACACAGCGGTAGGCAAATGCTCTACTGCTGAGCTGTGCCTCTAGCCTCAAAGACAGTAAATTTTATTTACGGATTTTTCATCACAATTAAAAATTTTTTTTAAATGTCTGTTTTTGGAGCCTTGATCTCTTGACTTTGAGAGCTCTTGAATCATGAGACCTTATCCTGTTCTCACTGTCATCTGGACAGCCAAGCTATAGGAGGAAATGTTACTGGTCGGTCAGGGATGGAAAGTTCCGGAACTTAGCAGGATTGCCTCTGCTTGCTGTCACATGTGATACAGTGTTTGCGACTTGAGTGATGAGTGGTTTTTTAGCTTGGGGAGGCCAGCTGGGTTGTAGATGTGGAAGGTGAGGCTTTGGCCCCTCAGTGGTAAAGGTGGAGGTGATGCTCCTGCAGTAGGAGCCAGGAGTCTGTTCCCCGGGCACCCCTGGCATTCTGTGCTGGGTGTCTTCCTGTGGGGAACCTACGTGGGCCTTGAAGGACGTGGAGCAGCATCCCTGGCCTCCACCCCTAGATGCCAGTAGCACCACACCCCACTGTGACAGCCCAGAATGCCCCTAGACATTGCTGAAAATCCCTGGGGACAAAATCACCCCCAGTTGAACACCACTGGGCTAGAGGTAGCCAACGTGTCCACAAACCACAAGGATCTCAATCTCCATTTTTTCTTCTTCAACATCAGATTTTCCTGGGTCCACTCTGAGCAAAATTTTCTAGCTTCTAAAATAAAATGAATGGAAAAAGAAAAACATATTTAAGCTGTCTTTTAAAAAATGTTTACTCTAAGCAGGCATGGTGGTATATGCCTGTAATCCCAGCAACTTGGGAGGCTGAGACAGCAGGATCACAACTTTGAGGCCAGCCTCAGCCATTTTGCTAGACCCCATCTCAAAATAAAAAATAAAAAAAGGGCTGGGGTATAGCTCAGTGGCAGGGTACCCCTGGTTTCAATCCCCAGGACTGCAAAAAAAAATGTTTATTATATGATACCTGATTAATTTAATCTTTTGAGCAATTCTCTGATGTAATTATCAATAGCCTCATTTTACAGTTAAGCAAGAAGGGTCTGGAGAAACTGAGTTCTCAGCTCACCATGCTGGTGAACAGAGAAACCAGGATTCAGAGCAGGTTTGACTCTTTCAACTACTATCTTTACACTTATTGATTTATCCTCTTTTAGATTACTTTATATGATGATTTTTCAGAGGACTTACAGGCATATGTGTGATAAAGCAGCTTAATTTCAACATTCTATGGAATTTGTGGTGTGTAAGGACACTATCAGTGAGCCACCAAGGTAGGAGTTGTTATGGAGTTCACTCCACAGCTCCAACTCTAAGGTAAAAATCTCTGTGATTTAGAAAATAAGGACATTGTCCAGCCGCATGGAAGGAAAGAAGTTGGTTAAGGGCCGCCAAGGTCCCCCTGTAATAATGCTCCAATGTCCCTTAGCCAGCAGAGGGCAGACTTGTGGTCCCGATGAACAGAAGTGGGCAGAGGAAGGCGCTTGGTTTAGAATGGGGGGAGAGCTTGCGGGGAATCCCACTAGCCTCGGGGCTGGCCCAGGGTGGGCTGTTTTTATACTCCTGGACGAGGCTTGAGGCTCGAGGTATTCCTGCCCTTTCAGAGATGTGTGACCTCCTTCCGTAGGGATAGCAGAAAGTTACCAAGCCGTGTCAGCTTTGCTTTCCTGGTTTTGCGGTGCTCCTGTGGTTCTCTGGCACCTCCGAGACACACAGCTATGGGGTGACCTGCACCACCTTACAGGGCCGTTGGGTTGTAGAAGCAGAACTTGTCTCTGCTGTGAAACACCTCCACGTCCTCGTGCTTAGTGGGTGCTCGGGGCTCAGTGCCCACCTGCAGCAGGCCCCAGCATGTGACCCGGGGCAGGACACCCAAGCCAGACAGTGATGGATGTGCTAACAAGAGGAACGCTACCCCTTCTTTTTTCGTGGAGAAGGAAATTGCCAACAGAGCCATTAGCCAAAATCCTGCCCAGGCTGCCACTCTGATGAACTTGGCCGAGCCCTCGCCTCACCTGCTCGCCAGCACGAAAATCCCCCAGAGCCGGGGCTTCTCCAGGACTGTCAAGTCTCCTGGAGAAACTGGCTTTCGCCTGCTGTCTGCTCCTTCTGCCAGCCCCCTGTGACTAGCCGGGGGCCTGGCAGAGCCACGTAAATCATGACAAACCTCTCACAGGCTTTCCTGCGCCATCCGCGTTCCTGCTGGCGCCTGGGCAGAGTGGCGTGTTTTGCACGTGGCCCCTGAACTGGAGTGGTGGAGGCCGGTAAGCCTGGAGCACTCCTGTCCCCTGACCCTCTGTCCACCTCCCTCCCAGGTGTGTCTGGTTACGTGCAAAGTGCAAGGCGGTTGCTAAGCCTGGTGTGGCACTCCTTTGGGGAAAACCCCAGGAATATCCCAGACCCTCTTTCTTGAGTGGAGGTGAAGGGCGTCCTCACTCGGAGCCAGGCGTTCACCCAGAATCAGCCCACCTGCTGGATTCACGTGTGGAACACGAGGTTTGAATCACTCGTCCTCACAAACAACACAAGAAGACAGAAGTTCTGAGGTTTGGCGTCACCATGGCAACGCCCCAGATCCCCACCATCCCCAGGTCTGAAAATGATCGGAGCCACTTGTGCCCGTCCTCTGAAACTGGCCAAAGCCTCGAGGCCCACGGGGCGCCCATTCACGGCTTGCCATGTGGGTTTTTGCCGTTTCCAGGGCACAGTCTCACATTCAGTGGGTGTAAGGAGTTGAACGGGGACCCCCAAAGATACCTCCAAGTCTTGACCCCTAGAACCCGCGAATGCTCTTAGGGAAAAAGGTCTTTGTGGATGTAATTAAGGACCTCAAGATGAGATTACCTTGGATAGGAGGGTGACCCTAAATCTAAGGACAGGTGACCTTCATAATGAAAAGGCAGAAGGAGACCCAGGGGAGAAGGCTGTGTGAAAACAGACAGAGATGGGAGCAAGGCCACCACAGGCCAGGGGGCACCCGCAGCCCCCGGAGCTGGGACAGGCAGGAAGGGTCTCTCCTAAAGCCTTCAGAGGGTGTGGCCCTGCCCACAGCCAGATTTTGGACTTCTGGCCTCCAGAACTGTGGAGAGAATAAATTTCTGTTACTTTAAGCCACCAGGTTTGTGGTCATCTGTGACCACGGCCACAGGGAACCCACACCCACGGTGATCTCTATTCCCCACCATGCTTGCTCTCAGCAGCAGCTCTTTCCTCTGGACTGAAGAATATGGTTTCTTTTTTTTCCCCTTAAAAACAAAAACAAACAAACAAAAAAACCCCCAGCAAAGTAAAGTAGTGTTTGGAAGGGTCGCCCAGCTGGCCAGGTCAGTGGTCAGCAGAAGTAACTGTGGAATGCATGGGCTGTGCTTGGGCCATGAGGTTTGTCCTCGGGTGTCTGGAGAGTCACTCTCTCAGGATCCCTGGGCACTGCGTGTGGCTTTTCCATCCTCCCTCCTACCTGGAGCTCAGTTGAGAGCTTCCACTGCTGCCCCTCCTTCCTCATGCTGGTCAGACTCCTCTCTTGTAGCATCATAAACGGTTTCCATGGAAACAAAAGGCTGTGATCGAATGGTACCAATGTACATGTAAACTTCAGGATTCAACACGGGGCTATTGTTTTTGCCTGCCAGAGTTTCATTCATTCTGAGATTGTCCCAGGGGACTTGGGCTTGCCTATCCATCACTCTCCTGGGTTTCTACCACATTCCATCCAGCCTGCCTGGCCAAGGAAGCGCGGAGCACCCAAGGAGCACCTCAGATCGTCAGGCCCCCAGGCTTCGGGCTTTCTCTTAGTTCTGGCATGTGCACGTAAATGTCAACAGGTGAGGTGAGATCTGTTGTAAATAAGCAGATGGTCCCTGCAGGGATGGAAATTCTAGCAGGCGATATCACAGCCAAAGACGTTGCCAATCTAGACTCATCATTCGTTTAGTGCATCAGAATTGGGGAACGGAAGAGGAACGTGGACCCAAGGCCATGCGCTTGTCCTCACACCTGTGAGTCACACCTGCCTCCTGCCAGTGCCAAAGGCACGGCTACCCATGCAGACTTCTCCAAGGGAGTTAAGTCGCAGCAGAACACACCTAAGGCCTTCAGCTGGTTCCAAGTAACTGGGCTATGGCCTGGTGAAGGAGCTCGAGTAGAGATTCTGGGCCACTGGAGCTCGGCACCCTTGGTTTGCGAGACATACCGCCTGGTGACTCCTACTTGGAGAAAGCCGGGTGTAGGTGGGGTGACATTATCATGCCAACTATGCTTCCCGGAGCAAAAAGAGCCCTACTAACTATACCGGATAATAGACATGATCAGGACTGTCCCTGAAAAGAGGGGCATATGGTAAACCTAACTTTAGGCCACACTGCCCCCAGCTCCACAGCAGATCAGAGTTGAAGTGTCCCAGGACGAATGCCCTACTTCTGGAGACGGACGGTGGCACAACACTGTGACCCAACGAGGTGAACTTGCTGAGCGCCACAGAGGCTCACTCTTGACAGTGCTTGGGATGGAGAATCCCGTGTCATGTTCATTTTGCCACAATTAGAACAAGCAGCAGGCCTCCGGATATCCCCTTCAAACCTGCTCCTTCTGCTCTCTCCTCTCCACTGAAGGCAACTCTATGTTTCCATTAGCTAAAGGCTAATGGAAACCTCCTCTCTCTCAGAGCCCGTTTGGCACACCAGCAAGTCTCGGTGGCTTTGCCTTCAGATTCATCCACCCAGGACCTCACACGTCTCACACACCTGCCACCCTGGCCCTCGGACATGGCCTATTGGATAGTCAGTGTCACATGCTGAATTGCGTCTTCCTGGCCCACCCACAGTCCCTTCTCAGCACGACCCTGCCAGGTATCAGGGAACACGAGCCCTCCCGGCACAACTCCACTGGCTTCCATGTCACTCAGGGCATCCATCTTCCCTGTGACCCACGGGCCCTTAATGACCGAACACCCCTTTGTCGGTGGTTTTGCTTTCCATAGTTTCACGTATCTGAGGTCCATCGTGGTCTGAAAGTTTAAATGGGAAATTCCAGGAATAAACTGCAAGTTGTAAGTTGAATGCCATTCTGAATAACATGATGAAACATCAAGTCTTCCCACTCTGTCCATCCAGGACAAGAATCTCTCCTCTGTCTAGTGTATCCACACTGTATATGCTACCCACCCATTACTCAGGGATCACATTGATTGTAGTGTCATCTCAGGGCTTGTAGCCCAACGCTAAGTCACCGTGCCTATGCCATTCACCTTGCCTTATCACATAGGCATTGTATCATCTCACACCATCACGAGAAGAAGGGTGAGTCCAGCAACAAGGTATTTTGAGAGAGAGAGAGAGAGAGAGAGAGCGCGAGCGAGAGAGAGTGCGCTGAGTGGGGGAGGAAGGGACCACATTCACATAGCTTTTATCCCAGTATGTAATTATCATTATTCTATTTAATTATTAGTTATTGTGGTTAATTTCTTACTGTGACTAATTTATCCTTAAGCTTTATCATGAAAGTAGGTACAGGGAAAAACAGCCTAGGTAGGATTGGGTACTTTGTGCCGTTTCCAGCGTCCACAGGAGTCTGGGAACGAGAGCCCTTGGACAGGAGGGGACTGCTCTTTCCGTCTCCCAGTCCTCCCTCGCATGCTTCATCTCTCAGCTTCCCCATGATGTGCACTCCATTCTGGCCGTGCCTCCTGCTCTTCAGACTCACCTTCTGTCTGCACCTGGACTCCGTGAGCTCTTCCTTGGCCACTGTAGGGAAGCATCAGCACCACCGACACTTCTGTTCGCTTGCTTGCTTGTTTTTTTCATTCACACATGTCAGTACTTGACGTACTATATATTTTATCATCTTGTTTATTTTCAACCTTCCCCACTAAAATACCTGATGCTATAGGCAAGGTTTTGCAAAATCTGCCGCCAGGCATGGTGGCACATGCCTGTAATCCCCACAACTCAGGAGGCTGAGGCAGGAGGATTGCAAGTTCGAGGACAGCCTCAGCAAGACCTTGATTCAAAATAAAAATAAATAAATAAAAAGACTGGGGATGTGGCTCAGTGGTAGAGTACTCCTGGGTCCAATCCGCATACTATTAAAAAAAAAAAGAAGGTAAGAAAGAAAGAAAGTTCTCTGATTTGCCTGCAGTGCCCCCATCAGCAGCACCAGACATATTCTTGATCCTCAGTAAATATTTGTCAAATTAATGAAAGATCCAGACATTTAGGGAATTGCTCAGGATCTGCTTTTAGGAAACTTTCTGTGACTGGTGAGTGGCCTCGCTGGCCGTCACACATGTTCTATTTGTAGTACTTCTATAATCTTGGCCTGCATTCCACTAGCTCAGTGGTTCTCACCTGGGGGCAGGGAGACATCTGACAATAATTGGAGACATTTTTGTTCTAAGAGAGGAAAGGTGCTGCTGGTATCTGGTGGGCAGAGACCAGAGATCTTGCTTAGTACTCTAAGTAATGCACAGGACAGCACCCCATAATAAAGAATTATCAGGACAGAATGTCAACTGTGCTAAGGTGGAGAAACCTGACTTCTCCTGATCATAGTAGGAGTGATCTAGCTTGCATTCCATGGGAAGTGAGTTTCTTATGAGCTTTTGAGGGTGGCTTGTGTCCCTAACCTGCAGAATTTATTTGGTGATAAGGTCTTTTAAGTAATTAAAATGAGGTCATCAGAGTGAGCTCTAACTTCATTTGACTGGTGCCCTTAGAAAAAGGGGAAATTTGGTCAGAGGCACACATGGAGGTAAGACAATGTGAAGACGCTTGGGGAGAAGATGGCCACGTGTCATAAACGATGTGCTCTAAGCCACTGCAGGCCAGAAGCTGGAAAGGCAAGGAAGGAGCCTCCCCTAGAGCCAGGGACAGTGTGACTCTGCCAACAGGACCCTGGGATTTCTAGCCTCTAGACTGGGAGGATACCTTTCTGTTGTTTAAGCGGTTCATCTTTCGGTGTTTGTTACTGCAGCTGCAGCAGACTAATACACGGGCAGAGCCAGTGCTAAATCCAAGCTTGACATCAAATGGACTGTGTCCCCTGCAACGATTAAATCGGTTTCCTGAGAAAATAAGGCGTTTTACTAAGATGGTGATTAGATCCTCATGCGGGAGGAGAGAACAGGATATTTAGACTTTAGGGCGTCTTGAGACTCATCATGCCCTGGAGTGAACCAGGAACACTGGTATAATAAATTTTCAAAGCCGCCAGTCGCCAAAGCCTTTCATGGGAAGATGACCCCAGCACAGAGTGTTTTTTTGCTAATATTAACTTTGGTTCTATTTCAGATCAATGAAGGCAAAACCAGGAGATCCCATAAATCCTGCTGTACCTGTCCTCGCTGTCAAATTAGGCCCTGATAAAGCTTCTCTTGGCTAATGATACGGCCATCACCCAGAAGGGATGCGGGTAGGAGGGGCTTTCCAAGAGCATCTGCCCCACCGCGGGGACACTTGTCATCAGCATCCCTGATTCACTGGAGGCTCTGTGGCTCCAGGGAAGGGCGATTCTTTGAACATCATTTTCTCTAAAAACAAATAAGAATGACAACTTAAAAATAAACAAAGATGTGGATTTAAAGGCTACTTAGTGTCCCAGGACCAAGATTAATGGTGAGTGGCAAGTTTTTGTGAAGTTCTTCTGTAGTCCGATTAGCTGTGCTGGGAGTCCAGAGAGATAATGTCTTTTCACGTATAAAAGATCCTATTGATTTCCTGTTAGTATTATCCTGAAAATGTGCAGCGTGTATCTATGGGAGCAGAGTCAGCCTTCCATCACTTGCTTTATGGGAAGAGAATGGTTATTGTATCTTTCCCCATAAAATATAATCTCTTTTTCTCTTTCAAAACCTACTCATCCCTCTGGGAATTTCCACTTGTAATCTGTGGAAGTGAATTGATTATTTTATTTTATTTTATTTTTTTTGCGTGTGCCAGTATTTTTATATTTGGCTTCTCTAGGTTTCCTCTTTGTTCTCTGGAGTCTGGCTTTTCTAGACTGTTATTTGAGCTCATCTAAAAATAAATATTAAAAATCTCATGTCTTTTAAAAGACACCATGCGGCCACTTCATGATGGTGGATGTCAGGTGCCCTGACTTGATTGGACTGGGGCGCCCCTCTCTTAGCCCCCTGTTGGGGCTGGTGTTGGTGAGGTCCCTAGTGTACTCCAGCAGGATTAAAATGCAAAACCAAGTCGCTGAATGTAGGGAATGCTCTTCCTGCTGATTGGGGCTCTCAGCATTAAGTCTGGGCATTTCTTCAGGATCAATTAAGATACAAGGGCAGAGTCCTGCATATTTAAATACCATGCTCCAAGCTGTGGCTTGCTAAGCTAATGAGTTTGGCTGAGAAGACCCCGGAAATGCGGTGCTGTCCACACTTTCTATAGAGAGGTCTGCAAACCTTAGCTTGGCCATAGAACCTGTGCTTATGGACTGGCCTCCACCTTTTGATTAACATAGATCCCTCCTTGCCTCTCCTGTCCACAGCCTCCCCACCGGTACAGGTTAACCCCTCCTCGCCCCTCCACAGTCCCGTCCACACTTTCTGTCTTCTCTGCTGAATTCTTGTTCCTCTTTAAATTCCTGTGATACTTATGGATGACAGCTCCCCGCCAGCACGTCATTATAGCCACTGTGGGCTGGGGAGGTGGCTATAATTTGCTTAGCATGCTCAAGGCCCTGGGTTCCATCCCCAGCTCTACAAAGGAAAAAAAAAAATACAGCCACCTCGTCCTGCTCTGACTTGTTGCAGGTACACTGTTTTAAGCACGACAGGGGTCCTGTTTCCAGGGTGAGTCTGCTCCTACCCCTCCACTTCCTCTTTCCATCCATCCCCTCATGCTGCGCCTGGAGCCAACCAACTTTATTGTTATAATATCTTGTACCAAATGCACTGTAACAATATAACATGTATATTATGTGGACATGTAATGACATATAACATAGATAGAGAACCCAGAGTTATGACCCCCAAAATTCATATGTTGAAGTCAACTTCTAACACCCAGCACCTGATCATGTGACTGAATTTGGAGACAGGCTCTTTTGTTGTTTCTTTTCCTTCATGTGATGCTGGGGGTTGAACCAGGATTTTGTGCATGCTAGGCACATGCTGTACCCCTGAACTCTATCACCAACCTGGAGATAGGGTCTTTGAAGAGGTAATTTAATTAAAATGAGGTCATGCTAGGTTCTAATCCAAGAGGACTGGTGTCCTTATAAAAAGAGATTGGGACACAGACAAGCGCAGATGCTCCTTGACTTAGGACGGGGGCCATGCTCTGATAAGCCCATCGTCAATTGAAAGTATCTCAGGTTGCAAAGGCATTAGACGCCCCCAACCCAGGAACACCCTCGCTTAGCAACACAGTGCTCTGCAGAGTACTGGTTGCTTCCTCTTGATACTGGCTGGTGGGAAGCTGTGGCACCCTGCCGCTGCCTGGTATCATGAGAGAGGATTATATCACATACCCTCAGCCTGGGAAAGATCCAGAATCAAGACGTAGTCGAGACATAGTTTCTACCGAATGCATATTGCTTTCACACTGTCTCAAAGTTAAAATATTCTAACTGTGACCATTGTAAGCTGGAGACCTGTCTGCAAGCCAAAGAGAGAGGCCTCAGGAGCAACCAGCCTGCTGATACCTCCATCTCAGACTTCCGGCCTCCAGGACTGTCGAAGGTACACTTCAGTTGTGTAAGTTGCCCAGCTCAGTGATACAGGACAAGGCCAAATCTCTCAGCTTACTATTAATTGTGTCCCATCCCACATTCCCATCCCGTCTTCTCCCTCCCAAGGTGGACCCCTCTATCCACTCTGACTCGCAGCGTCCTCGTTTCCCACACTACCCCTCACCTCTGGCTCTCTTCCTTTCTCCCAGGGCAGCTTGCCCCTTCTCCCTTGCCCACATCCCCTCCTCCCTGCACCTCCTCCTGTTCTGAGCATCAGGAACAAGATGAGCAGCTTCCCTGTGGGCTATGCAGTGGTTTTCCAGCTGTGCTCCCAGGGACAGCACCAGAGGAAAGGGGCCAGCTCCCCCTACCTGCCCGTTAAGCAGAGCTGCCCGACGTTTTCCTGTGATTCACTCATTTTTCCCATCTGTTGTTTTAAAGCAGGTTTTGCAGGGTGGCAGTGCACAATCCCACTGAAGTTCTTCCCTGGATGTAGTGACAACAAAATGTACAAAAAGTCACACAAAGCTAACGGTCCTTGTTCAGGAAACACTGAAGCCAACAAAGCCCGCCACACTTTTTATCTTGATTTCCTAGAACGGTGCTCATTGCCAGGGACAAACTCAACCATCAAATCTCATTGACTCTGAGAATGTGGCTCCCATATACTGCTGCCCATTCCAATCCATCAGACAGGCAGCAGCTGCGCTGCTAACGTGCTCACGGCTCGCCGAGTTATTAATCTGTTTCCTAAGTACGAAAGGATGATGGTCTCTATTCTCTGATGCAGATGTGGACCTTTGCCAGGTCACATCTGGCCAGAGGTTGGGTGCACAATGACTTCATGAAGAAATCAATTCCTGTTCCCTCCAGCTGACCTTAGGGTTGTCTTCCCAGGCTTGCTTCTTTTTGTTGTAATATAAAAATTAAATTCCGGTCTGTGTGATTTACATGGTGCTGTTTCTTTCAGAAGCCCACGGCACACTGCATGTTAGCAAGGTCCCGATAAGGCAAGGACAGGAAGGGCTAGAATCATGTCCTAGTGTCATGCATCGATATGGGGGTAGAAGAAGGAAGAGCTGGCCATCTAGTCCTGTCCACCCACGCCTATGGTCGCAGGTTACTTTGTAGGCCACAGTGGAAACTTCAACAGCGAAATGTCGCGAGACACAGGCTAACTACTACACAGTCATGCCCCAGGCTTTGTTGGGCCTGTGCGTTTGCACATCTCTCCTACCTCTCTGAGAATTAAGCTAAAGTCCCTCTCCAACGTTTAGAGCAAAATTTCCTGGGCCTTACTTGCTTCCAAGGCCCAACTGGAGGATTCCAACCTTACTGCTTCCTTCAGCCAGCCACTCAGTGTCCACTATCAGTCTATGAGAGACAGTGGATTCATTGAACATCCAGGGGATGAATCAGGAAATTGTGGGCTAAATCTTCCCCATCTAAATATGCAAGCTTTTCCTTATTCTCTGGTCCCCTGTCTCCCCCTCAATCTCACACACACACACACACACACACACACACACACACACACACACACGTTTTGGATCTCCAATTCCTGGCTGTTTTCAGAGAAAAAGGCAATTGCCTTGGAATCCTGATGCAAACGGATGATATGTTGCAGTGTGGACCCCGGTTCTCTCTGAAGGTGTACTTCTTTTTCTCCTAAGATCCCATAGCTAGATTCATAAATCAGTTTTGTCTAGTCTGATTATCTGTTTCATCAGAGATTTCGCATAGATTTCCTATGTTTCTGATCAGTTACCATGGATATTGCCTTTGTTATCACAGTCCTCCGAAACAAGAAGCTGCACTTCCGTGGGCTTTACTCACTGTAAGAATTAATCTGTGCAAAGCTCTCAGGATAAACCTTGTTTGTTTTAAATTCTTTTTAATGGAGGTAGAAGGATCACAGATCCAGGGAAGTGGTGGGGAGGGGAACGGAAATAAATTTGCCATATGCTTGTTTATTGTCAAACATTTGCATCTCATTTTCACTCAAAGCATAAATTTCCAGTGTGACTTAAGCTTTGAAAACACTTGGCTCTGAGGTTGCTGGGGTTTGGGACCCTCTCAATCACTTCCTTGCTCCCCTCCCACCACCACACTGTCTGTCCTTCTCCCTCCCCCAGCACTACTGTGGACTGTGGTTCATGGTTGCATCCTTAGAGCCCAGTAGAGTCGCTCAGGGCACAGAGTTCTCAATACATGTTGGATGAATGACTATTTTCTTGCATTTCTCTCCTCTTGCTCAGCTGAAAAGTGCATTAAATCTAGATCCCTTGTTCTTCTGCTCAGGAGGAAGGAGGGGAGGGAGGTTGAAGGTAACGAGAAGGAATTCCGGGAATGGGACTGAGGGTGAAGAGCAACACACCAGACACGGGAGCCCAGAAAAGCTGGACCTCGAATTTAAGAAGCTCAGCAGTGTAGGGGGCCATTCTGGATCCCAGGCTGCCCCCTCAGGAGCAGGCGAGAGCTGTTTGATTCTATGTTCTGACATTGACATGAGCCAGCTGAGTTACTCTCCTCACCCCCAGTGTGTGCACTCCCCCAGCTTCTCACTTGTAAGTCCACCTCTTTTCTCTGTGTCTGTTCTGGAACAACCTAGTCCTACAGTATGAAGACTGGCCCCAAGGTGTCCCGAGAGGGAAGAAAGAGAGGCAGGCAGATCCAGGGTTGTGTAATTTATTGGCAGACTTACTGATAGAAGCCTGGTCATGGGCATCAGCAAGACCAGCTAGATTCTCCAGTTTGAGTTAGAGAGAGGGACGTGTTTATGGCTTAGGACAAAATTGACTTCTTTCTGGCTGGAATGTACCTGGTTTATCTTAATATGGAAGAATCAGGCACATCCCTGGAGCTACAGTCCAGTTGTGGAGCCCCACGTGTGACCCTAATGGTTTTATCTGCTCCTGGTTTGCTGGGAAACCTTGCAGGAAAACCCAGCTGGGGTCCCTCACTGACACTCGTGGCAGTTATGGCACAGAATGGCTGGGTGCATCACGCTGAACCCACACAATGCCATCGATCATGCTGGCCCACATTTCTTGTCCCTTATAAGTCCCACTGTGGCCTCTCTGGCTTCTTTCTACCTTATAATGTTTCAATGTCAACTTTAAACAATAATTGTCCCATTCTCTCAGCCCAGTTTGTCCTTCACATACCCCAGAGCAGGAATCTGATGGGTCTACTTCTTCTCTATATATCAGGGCAACGTAGAGCCCATGGAGTGACTGCCCCCGGATCAGGGTCCTGAGGTCCAATCAAATATGACCAAGGGTCAATGTCATATGCTACAAAACTGCCCATGGATGGTCTTTGCCAGAGGCTGTGAGCAGGGCATGGGGTGGTCATTTAGAGTCATTCTATAACCCTCTCCATTACGTCGTAGCCACGTGGTTCAGGGACTCCACCTCAGCTGGCAGGAAACAGAAACCAAGGGAGGTTGTTCCCTGCCCTCCGGTGTGTGTTTTTGGTCAGAGAATCCAAGGTAGGGTCAGAGCACGGTGTTTCCCTGTGGCAGGGATTGGTCCAGAGATGGGTTTATAAATCAGTTCCATATTTTCTCCTGGGCACTGCTGAGAGGAAATGCCATTGCTCTTAAAGCAGGGTCGAGGGGAGAGGTGGTCTCTTTTCCTGGAACATGACTGTGCGCAGATGGCTGAGCCTCGAGCTGAGGCTTCCGCCCCCAGAATGATAGCATTGGCCTAAGAGGGCGGAACCAACGCAGGGCAGGGGAAAGGATTTGGAGCCATAGATTAACCAGGTCCCTGGAGCCAGGCTTTCTCTCCACCTCCAGTCATATGACCTAATACATCTCCTTATTGTTAAAGCCAGTTTGTGTAGGGTTTTTGTGATTTGCAGCTAAAAGCATGGCAGAGGGTATGGCTGGAGGGAAGGTGAATTTGTGGCCACAGTGGGCAATGAATGTGTCATGGATTTCAAATTCTACATGTCGCACAGGGACCAGGTCAGCTTCAGAGGATTAGGCAGTCACTTAGGGCCTGTGCTTGGCTTAATGCTCTGTTGTCACTGTCTTCAAATTCCTAATAATGTTATAACAAAGGGTCCCCGGTTTCATCTTACCCAGTCCCTGCAAATTATATAGACAGTCCTGGGGAGGTGATAGGTACAGAGAAGAGGGGTTGTGTAAACTGTTAAGCACTATACAAAGCATTATTTATTGCTATTTGTAAGCCTCTTCTCCTTCTCCTTAGGGACAAAGGACTTTATTCGAGTCTCTTATGTCTAGTGTCATGGGTCTTGCTGCCAGGAATTCTTCTGCCCATGTGGTCCAATTCTCTGTGCCTAGTCCCCATCACCCTCTGCATGGCTAGAGGATTCCTTACTGATAGAAGTTTCTTTTCTGTTTCTAAGAATTTGGGGGAAGTATATGAACAAAGTTAAGTCTTAACTGTTTAATTAACACCTAAACCAACAAGCAAAGCAAGCACACATGCACACGCACACGCACAAACGACCGTATTTGCTGGGCCTCAATTAAAACGTACTGCTCGATTTGGATCTTCCTCTGTCTTTTTAGGGATCTATTTTAGGCCCATGGGCTCAATTGCCCTACCTTCATCCGTGTGTGTGTGTGTGTGTGTGTGTGTGTGTGTGTGTGTCCCCACCGGATATGGGCTCACGTGTCTCAGGTGGAGAAAATGGCTGATTGCACCCGTCCTTGCCTCCTGCTAATGCTGTTGCTGAGTGAGTGTTACTTTGGAGATAATTAATGTGTCCCATTTTAGTGCAAAAATATACCTTGTCCCAGGTCACATGACGAATGTAACCATAAAAAGTTTAAAATGCTATTATTTAAAATTTATTTTCTCATAAAAAATGGTTCCTGAAATGATCATAATTTGAATAACTTACTCTATAGTTATAATACATTATGCCTTGGCCCAGGTCCAGGCTGGGTAATCCGGGAGCCCAGCAAGATCCGTCCTGGACAGAGCAGCCCGTCTCTGATAGTACCTCGAAAAGGTGAGGCTCAGTACTTCCATGTCTGTTCCATTTGCATCAACCTGAACCCACAGCTGCAGATCAGCCCATTTTACAGTCTCTCTCTTCTCCACCCCTAAGAGGGCATTTCTTTGTGAAGTTATTTCATGAGGTTAAAGTGGGCTTTAATTCTTGGCTATATAATTCTTGGATGTTTAACCTTCACTTTAAGGGATACCCCTCCACAACTCTCCCCCCCCAACCCGTGCTTGTCTGACCTGAGAGTGGTCTGAAGCTCACGGGTTCAGGGAGGGAGTCCATGTGGGGCACCACTTACTGCAGGGCAATGGTCTGCGAAACCTTCACTGCTCTGGTGTAGGGTGAGGGCAGGGGTCACCTCCTAATAGAGCTGCAGCTCTGCTAATGATGGCGGGGATGCATGCCAGTCCCTGCCACGTGCCCCATGTCCTTGACGCTGCTAACGATGGCGTCTTGTGGCATGCCGGGCACTGTGCTGGGAGCTGCATGTGTACATCTTTCCCAGCAATCAGCTACCCCCTGGTGAGTGCGGATCAAGGCTCCCATAAAGGAGGTGCTGTCTGGGACTGGCTGCTCAGTCCAAAGCCTGGACAGTGCATTTCTTCCTATAGCTCCTGTAACTATAAAATCTGTGGCCCAGAGCACTTCGAGTTCATTATCTTACAGGTGTGGAGGAAATGGGCCTTCTTGGCCTACGATCAAGGGCTCAGCAGGGCTGCGTTCTTTCCAGAGCCTCCACGGGAGAATCCATTTCCTTTGTCTCTTCCGGCTCCTGGAGGCTGCCTGCATCCCTTGGTTTATGGCTCCTTTCTCCATCTTCAAGGCCAGTGGCACTTTGCTTCAGATCTCTCCCAGATCTCTCGAATTTCCTTCCCTGCCTCTGGCCCTGCTGACTGTCCCTTGGAAGGAGCCTGTGAGCACATGGGGTCCTCCAGATAATCCAGGAAAATCTCCCTAACTC